AAGGATGTAAAATAACTTTTCATTTAAAAAAAAGGCTTCACAATGTTGACCTTTGATGCAAACAAATATAAAACCAGCATCATCATAAAGCCAGAAAGCTTTATTAGGACATATTCTACATGTTGATTAAACAAAAATTCACAGATCGAGGTGTGGTTTTTAAAAATATTTCTGACAAATTAAAAAACTAAGTTTTTACAGAGTAGCTGCTGCGGCCTCGTCATCCTGAGGCTACAGGTCTGAGCTCAGGTGTTCAGGAAGGACAAAACCACCAGATATTTCATTGGAGTTCACTTGAACCAAGCAGCCGAAAGAAAAACAACTGATTGTTGTGTGAGTGTTGGGGGCGGAGCTAAACAAGATAACAGCCTAAAACGCCAAAAACTGTAAAAATTAAAAAAAAAAAAAAAACACAAAAACACTTAAAAAAACTGTACACTTCACCTTTTTTTATTTTTATTAACGATCATTTTCAAACTGTTTGTGTAAAAGTGATGATGCTCCTGTACAACGGGCCAGTCCTTGGACCTGGGAAGGATTCACCAGGACAGGAAATCAAAAACAAAAACAAAAAACCAGAACAGAACTGTCCACAATGAGACGTCCACAGAAGGTTCAAGGTTTCCAGAGCTTCAGCAGGCCGTCCTCGCTGTACGTGGCGATGAGGTTCTGGTGGGGGTGGTGGGCGATGCCGATCACATCCTTCTCATGGACCTGGAGGACAGAGGAGCAGAAAGTGACATCATCAGAGAGGAGTTGTCAGATCAGTGGGTTATATCAGCACCATTTAAAATAAGGTTTTATAAATCTACACTGATCAGACCAACTATTTTACTGTTGGATGGGACTACAGATGTAAAGTAGCCTTAGGCTAAATCTGGTGCAATGCATCACATTATGTTTTAATTGCACACTGTCCGGAATAAATAAATCATTCATTCACAAACGACTTTTGCGAGAGAAAAATCTCCCATGTCCACTCGCGGGTTCTGTACAGAACAACTTCTCCCAGTTTGAGAGTATATAATGTCCGTTACCTCCTGAAGGCAGCACAAAGTCCGTCTGCTATAAATGCTAACAGCAACAAGCTAGTGTTCAAGAACTCACCGTGACTTAAATCATTGCTGAGACTTTGGACAAATCCAATAAAATTGGCAGAGGACGCAGATCTCAAGCACTTTAACGATGGGAATGATGGAGCTTGACAAGCAGCCGTTCACTCTTGCTAAAGACGGAAGCTTTTATCTCCTTGTTGTTAGCCACGGTTTACCACCGTTGGCCACGGCTTTCCACCGTTGGCCACGGTTTTCCACCGATAGCCAAGGTTTGCTACGGTTTACCACCGTTAGCCACGGCTTACCACCGTTAGTCACGGCTTACCACCGTTAGTCACGGCTTACCACCGTTAGTCACGGCTTACCACCGTTAGCCACGGTTTTCCACCGTTAGCCACGGTTTACCATCGTTAGCCACGGTTTACCATCGTTAGCCACGGTTTACCACCGTTAGCCACGGTTTACCAGCTGAGCTGCTGCTAACTGTGTGTGTCTTCCTGTAAGTACGATGCGGTCGTAATGCATTCACACTTTGATTGACAGGTTATCATTTCTGCACTATTATCTCAGAAGCTGTTTCAGGTAGAAAATATTTTACATGATATATTATTAATAATAAAAACAAATGTACTTTGAATCTAACTTGTGTTAGTGAATTATCTGTTTTGAGCTTGTGGAATGACTTTTTTCTTTTGTTTAAATCTGAGATCAGTATTAAAGCTCTTTTTTTATAATTAATGTGCCTTATTTAAAAAAAATCATTTTGTAAAGATGATCTTGACACCGTGGTCAGAACCTGCAGCAGGTGTGGAGGAGGGAACATTTCGTGCCGTGACATACCGTCAGCGTTCTCTCCAGTTTGCCGGTGACGGTGCTGAAGCAGTAGAGCACGAAGTCTTCACCCACGCAGTAGATCCACTCGCCTCGAGGTGACAGGGTGCAGCACACAAAGTCACCGCCCTCCCTCTTACCAGAGCTGAAGCTCCTCACGATCTGCGGGTCCAAATACAGAACGCTCAGCTAAAACCTCCCAGGAGCCGACAGACGACGAGTCTCTCCACTGACCTGTCCCTGCATGTTCATGATGACCACCGTGTTGGAGCGGTTACACACCACGAAGTGCTCCGGGTTTTTCGGCAGCAGCAGGACGTTGTTGACGGTGAGGTCCGTGCCGGCCGACGTGCCCAGAGGTTTGAAGGTGCTGGTGCACTCCGTGGTCTTCACGTTCCACACCTGAGGCAGGTGACGTACAGGAAACAGTTTCAGTTCAGGCTGCTGGTTAAAATAAAAAGAACCAAACGCCGACCGGGTGTTTCTGAGCTCTTACTTTGACCGTCCCGTCAGAAGACGCGCTGACGATGTGATGGCCGTCCGGCGTGAACGTGGCCTCGTTCACGAAGGAGGTGTGWCCGCGGAACTCCTTCAGAGACTTCCCCGACTTCAGCCCGTGGATTCTTGTGCAAACAAACAAAAGGTATGAAGCCGATAATGTTTATGTGTAACAGAACTTGTAACTTGTAAAATGATTTGAAATTTGTAACTGTGTACTTGTGATGTGTAACCATGAACTTGTAATTGTAGTTTTTTTTTATTTATTACAGTTATACCTCTTCAGATTGTTTAATGCAAGTTCACAAATAGTATTCTACAAGTTGCACATCAAAAACCTGTAATAACGTTCACAATTTTGCAACAATTGCACCAAAACAAATGAATTTAACAATCTGAAGAGGTGTAACTGCTGTTTTGTATGTGTAATAATGTAGGGGTCACCTCAAGTGAAGAAACAAGATTTACTGCCTCGAAGCAGGCCTGACAAGAGGACAGGAACTCTGTCACAAAC